ACCCTGAGGCTGCTGCTGCTGACGATGACGATGATGAAGATGATGATGATGCTGCTGCTGACGATGATGATGATGATGATGATGCTGCTGCTGATGATGACGATGATGATGATGATGATGCTGCTGCTGATGATGATGATGATGATGATGATGCTGCTGCTGATGATGACGATGATGATGATGATGATGCTGCTGCTGACGATGACGATGATGATGATGAAGATGATGATGATGATGACGATGATGATGATGATGATGACGATGATGATGATGATGATGACGATGATGATGATGATGATGATGATGATGCTGCTGTTGACGATGATGATGATGCTGGTTCTGGTTCTTGTGGTGGTGGTTCAGAACCTTTGAGTTCTCCAAGTGATTTGAACGTGAGAGCAGTGAGTGTGTGGTGACACTGTGTTCACAGGGTCTCAGCAGCTCGGACAGATTGCTTCTGGGTGTTCAGAGTAAACGTGAGCTGTGTTTTCCAGCTCTGCTCAGTGAGAACAACGTCTGTTCTGTTCTCTGACGAAGGGAAACAGAGTTCTGTCACAAACACCCTGAAGTATTCCCTCTCAACAGTCAACATACATGACCCTGCACTCACGTGTAGTCAAACATATCTGGTTTAGGAAAACGTTCACTACATCACCTGTTGAACACTGGGACAATTATTCGACTTTTTAAAACCCACAGAGTTGAACATTTTAAAATTGTTCTGTAACAGGAACGTTCACTAAGTGCAGTGTGATTGTTTTACTCACACAAACAAATGTGTTCATTATTCAGAATCCACATCCACATTTTTCAAAACTATGGAACCTCCAGTTTTTAATCATGTTTAAGCTTCAACCGCAGCTTTCACAGCAACTTCATCATTATTTGATGAAGTCAATTCTCAGTAAATCATATTGGTTATTGAACAAAGCAACATGTGTGTATCTGGGAGATAAAGATGATGTGAAGGAGACATTACATAATTCTGAAATGTAAACATATTTAAATATTACTTATGTCTCTAATTACTAATGGTAACTTCACTCTGAGGACATTTTTTAGCTACCATTTTATTAGAAATACAAAAAGCAGGATATAGATTTCTGTCATTTTTTATCCACTCCTGCAATAAAGCATCTCCTCTTCAAAATGAAGAAACAAAAAGATGTCAAGCCTTTGTTCAGGACGAGGAGAATGTGTGTGCTTCATTCAATAAGATCACACAGACGTTGAGATGCTTCATTTTACTTCATCTAATGCACAAGTTGTGAGAAAGAACTGAGTTGAGAAACGACCAGGACACAGATCTGCCCTTCAACACTGGGCCGTGGTGGAACAGGAACAACCAGTGAGAAGAACACGTCCTCCAGCAGAGGAACAAGGAGGAGAGTCAGTGAACAGATCTTCATCCAAACAAGGCTGCTGGACGAGACGGGAGAGAAAGGACGATCACCTGGAACGACCTGCGGACCTGTCTCCTCAGAGACCAGCTGCTCTAATAACATACACCAGATCAGCCAGAGCAGATGGTTTCTGAAACGTCCTCTGAGGACCAGGACTCATGCCAAGTAACTGTAGTAGCTGTAACTCCTATCATATGGGACGAACTAGTTCATTTCATACAGATACAGTAAATGAACACAGCACTTTAGGTCACTTCTTCATGTTATGTTGTTTGCTGGATGAATATTCACTGATTGACGTTTCTTGGTTGCAACTTAAACTTTTTGTTCCTGTGAATTAAAAGCAACTCTGCAGTAAATCAATCTGATATTTGTTTCTGTCCCAAATAAACAGGTTTGAGGCGTTTCTAGTTTCTGCTCTTCAGCACGAGGAGAAGCTGCAGAGCTGAACTTGTTCAGGTACAGAGTGAACACAGATGATTGTGTGATCAATACAACTTTGTTGTGTTGTCTAAAAAGAAAATGTGGCAACACGATGCAAAATAAAAGATCTTCCTCTCGTCATCACTGTGCTGAAATATCTGCTCCTCCCCCGCAGTTCAACTGAAGCTCTGTGGATCAGCAGCAGACACACAAATATAATCTGCCTCCAACACACACAACCCACAGTCTGTCATGATGTCACTGCAACACAACAGCACAGTTGTGTTGCAGCTGAGGTGCAGCTGGAGTTTCTTCAGTGAGTCAAAACATTCAGTCATTTCAAACCTGTCCAGTAAAAATAACCTGTTCTGTACACGCCCCCGTCCCAGAGGTGGAAAAACACGGAGCAGGAAACTGACTCAATGTCACCACAGACACGGTGAGGAGGTTCCATCCCCGTCCTCCTTCACCTCAGCTACTGTGAACCGTTCAGATTCACGATGTTAAACTCTGAGTGAGAGACACTGAGCAGCATCTCAACACATCTGACACTGTATCCATAGCAACAACATCTGGAGGTGTGTCAGTGCTGGTGAACGCTCAGAGGTTCTAGAAGGACAGAGACGTCCTGTCTCCAGTCAGGATCTGTCTTCTCTTTGAGTAACATCCATCTTCCATCATCTGTCCATCATCTGTCCATCATCTGTCCA